AAATAATGGCAAGGAATTATGCATATACACTATAATTTTGAAAACCCAAGTTTTTGCACCCCCTGGAATATCGTCTCGCACCCCCAGGGGGTGCAAGCATCCCCGGTTGGGAACCCCTGTTCTATCAGAACCTTAAGAATGTCTCTATTTTTTTTCCCTGTTGCTCTTTTCAATATTTTCTGGGAGGTCTTGCTTGCCAATTGCCTATAACCAGCAGTCCCCAACCTTTCCGACCCTGTGGACTGGTCAGTGGCAGTGGGGAGTGGGGCTGGTTCCACACAAGTGGTGGATGCATGCACACAACTCCATTTGCACTAATGGAGGGCACACATGCCGGCTGCTTGCACAAATGGAGTTTTGCGCACTTTTCTGCTCGCCTGCTGCTTGCGTGGCCTGGTTCCCAACAGGCCACAGCCTGTTATCAAGCTGTGGACCAAGAGTTCAGGACCCTTGGCCTATATTATTTGCTCCTTGGTATTTCTATGTCTGCTCAACTAAACATGAAATATGGGGTACCTATTGACAACCTTCATGTGCGGTTATTTCTCCTCAGTTTTACCCCTTGATCTGTTTACTTCAATATCTCATCAGAGCCTAGTCCTTGATCCTATTTTTCTGGAGCTAACATTCCACTGTGATATAGTGTTCTTTCTGAAATATTCTGCTAAATAATAAACACCTCAATACTACAAATCCTCTCAACAAATTTAAGATTAGCAAACTTCCAAATCTATCTTTAGTATTTTTTTTCCTACTGTTTCCAATCTCTTAAATAAGGACATCTCTTGGGAATATCTCTTTATAGTTCAAAACAAAAAAGGAAATATTTCCTAGATTCGTACCAGATGGCTCCTTGTAGTTTTCAGAGATCTGATCTGTCAGCATTCTGTTTTCCCAATACAAAGAGAACATTTCCTTTTAAGTACAGATAGCTGGATATAAAAATTGCTTTTTTTTATAATAAAATTTGCAGAATTTTACAAATTTACAAACCACACCGACCCACTAATCTTCCCATAATTATGTGGATCATTTAGCATGGTGATTTACTCGCACTTTCACTGAAAAGAACCAAGAATAAGGATGGAGTGAAGCGGGTATCCTGAAACTTTACTTCTTAAGATTTTATTGCTATCTGATTCTTCCCACCATAAAAAATAAGACCCTAGGAAAGCAGATTCAGGTGAGGGTTCCCTTTTGTGTTAAAAATAGCACCTGTGGTGGGACAAAGGGGGAGACAGAATGAGGAAAGTAGTACCAAGCATTGTGATACAAGTCTCACCCCTTTTTCAGGTGTGTTATTACTGACAGAAGATACTCATGGTTCCTGAAGATACTCATGGTTCCTGATGACCTGGTTTTGTTCTCTTCACAATCTTCCTTTAGTAAGGAAAGTGAGATTGGAACAAAGGTGGATTCCTCCAGAGCTATAGAACTTGGTGCTTACAGAAGCTTGAAGCTTGGCTTCTAGAGAGCCACATTTCAGCAGGCAAAGCTACAAGAACATTGGTCCCTACTCATGGATATCATCCACATTGCCATCCACTGTTACATACCAAGCCACAACTTCACTTATAAATCTCCCAAAGCACCAGAAACATCAAACATACCTTCCAATTCATTCTTTGGCTTATTACTCCATCAGTATACTATACTTTTGCTTATTTCTAATTTCCCACAATACATTTTGTCGCATAGCTATGCTATCTTAGCCAATTGGTAATAAATGGATTCGTAGCTGGCTGACCGGTCATACTCAGCGTATGGTCCTCAATGGAACCGGATCTACATGGAGGGAAGTGTGTAGTGGGTTGCCCCAGGGCTCTGTTCTAGGCCCAGTGCTCTTCAACATCTTCATCAACGATTTGGATGAGGGGATAGATGGGCAACTCATCAAATTTGCAGATGACACCAAGCTGGCAGGAATAGCCAACACTCCAGAAGACAGGCTTAAGATACAGGAGGATCTAGACAGACTTGAACACTGGGTGCTATCTAACAAAATGAAATTCAATGGTGAAAAAAGTAAGGTTCTACATTTAGGCAAGAAAAACCATAGGGGGTACCTTGCTCAATAGTAGTAACTGTGAAAGGGATCTCGGAGTCCTACTGGACAATCACTTAAATATGAGCCAGCATGTGCTGCAGCTGCCCAAAAGGCCAACACAGTGCTGGCCTGTATTAACAGAGGGATAGAATCAAGATCACGTGAAGTATTAATACCACTTTACAATGCCTTGGTAAGGCCACACTTGGAATACTGCATCCAGTTTTGGTCACCACGATGTAAACAAGATACTGAGACTCTAGAACAGACATGTCAAACACAAGGCCTGGGGGCCAGATGTAGCCCATGAAGTGGTTTCATGTGGCCCGCGAAGCCATCCTGGATACAGTGAGGGAACAGCCCCCGCTACCTTGGCTCTGGCCAGCCGGGAGCCAATGTACAATTTTGAGGTCGCCATTTTGGCACTTGCCCTGGTGGACCATGTCTTGGCATTTGCCTCAGTCCCACCCCCTTCTGCTAGAGACCCTCAGATCTGTCCCAATCCTGCCCAGGCCCCCACAGGCACTCTTGACGCAAATGATGTAGAACTGGACACGCCCACTCAGTAGGCCACACCCACTCCATCCACACCCACCCAGTAGCCTGCACCCACTCTAGCCACACTAGCCTAGAAGAGGGAGTCAAGCTATTCTCCAAGGTGTCTGAAGGCAAGACAAGAAGCAACGGATGGAAACTGATCAAGGAGAGAAGCAACCTAGAACTAAGGAGAAACTTCCTGACAGTTAGAACAATTAACCAATGGAACAACCTGCCTCCAGAAGCAGTGAATGCTCCAACACTGGAAGTTTTTAAGAAGAGACTGGTCAGCCATTTGTCCAAAATGATGTAGGGTTTCCTGCCTGAGCAGGGGGTTTATTTATTTATTTATTTATGAGACTTATATACCACTTTAAGTGCAAGCACTCTCTAAGCGGTGTACACCAGTAAGCAATGTATATATATATTTACATTGCCCCCAACAATCTGGGTCCTCATTTTACCTAACCCGGAAGGATGGAAGGCTGAGTCAACCTTGAGCCAGTGAGATTTGAACCGCTTACCTGCGGAACACAGTCAGCTAAAGTGGCCTGCAGTACTGCATTCTAACTGCACTCTAACTGCTGTGCCACCTCGGGTTGGACTCAATGACCTCCAATTATTGTTGTTGTTGTTGTTGTTGTCTCTGTTGCATGAACTGCACTAGCTCCCAGTTTTCTTCCAGGTGCAATTCAAGTTCCTGATTATTACCTTTAAAGCTCTACAGGGTATGGGACCAGGTTATTTGCAGAACAGCTTCTCCCAGAGAATATCTATCCATCGCACCAGAATGGAGAGAGGGGCCACAGTATGGGTCCCTTAGGAGGCACAGTGGCTCAGTGGCTTAATGACGTCGCAGATGGTCTTTGGTCCAGTAGTTCAAGTCCTAGCACTGCATGGTGGAGTGAGCTCCCATCATTCACCTCAGCTTATGCCCAGGTAGCAGTTTGAAAGCATGTTATATACAAGTAAATAGGTACACTTCGGTGGGGAGACAAGCTGGCACTTCTTGCGGATGGTTAGAATCCTGCTGGCACTAGACCTTTCCAGTTGTGACACCCATTTGCGAGGGGACTTTGGTGGAGGGAGAGGGCTCCAGATCACGCAGCAGAAAAGCCGCTCACCTTTCTTTCTGGTACAGAGCTAGCTCACCCCATGGTGCATCTTGGGATACCGGCCAGTGTGAATCAAATAGGGCTAGCAATGTTAGGTAGCCAAAATACTACTGCCATGCATTAAAAAAAACAAGAAAAAAGTAAAAAAAAATAAAAATCTCCAGGTTCCTTTCTTTAAGGAGCCGAGATGGCGCAGCAGTTAGAGTGTAGTACTGCAGGCCACTTTAGCTGACTGTGTTCAGCAGGTCAGCGGTTCAAATCTCACCGGCTCAAGGTTGACTCAGCCTTCCATCCTTCCGGGGTAGGTAAAATGAGGACCCAGATTGTTGGGGGCAATGTAAATATATATATATATACATTGCTTACTGGTGTACACCGCTTAGAGAGTGCTTGCACTTAAAGCGATATATAAGTCTCATAAATAAAATAAATAAATAAATATTGCCATCTAGTGGAAACTTTCAAGCATACCTTTTTTGTGCAGTCCCTGTCCTATGGAACACCCTCTTCCCTGAGATTAATAGATCCTTCTATCCTTCCAGAGATCACAATATCTGGACCTTAAACCTGGCAAGCTCAGGATGGGAGGAGAATGTGGGTGCATCAGAGGCTGTTGGACCAGGCTTTTCTGCTTTTAGTTTGATTGCTGTTGGTTTTTATACAGTTTGTATTGTTTTATGCTATTTTTATAGTGCTTTATTAGTTGCAAGCTACCCAGAGTTGTTTTAAGAGGGGGCAGCTATATAAAAGTTTTAAGTGAATAAATAAAATAAATACACAGAACACACATAAAATCTTCACTAAAGGAAGGGGGGAAGTTATTTTTGCTAGCTTGAGCTTTTTAAATATTAAATAATGTATGTTACCACTAGAGCTAGTTAACGTCAGCTTTTCTCCAGTTAGATTATATATTTAGTGTTCATTATATATTCTATCTATATTTCCTCTCTTGGCTCTCAGATTCTATTTACATTTAAAAACATTCATACAAAAGTATGGTAGCATTTATTGCATAAAATCCTCTGGAAAATACAGTCTAGATCAAAGAAATAAATTTAGAACCACATTAAATTTAATCTAGTACTCTATTACAACACCTAAATGAACATACATTTAGTAGATATAACCTAATTTAGCTTGACGTGAGCTGACATTCATTGTTGCATTTAAGAAATTATGGTTCACACTCTAATTAAAATCCATGTAGAAATCTGACAGAGAGAATATAATGTTTTACTACATTCTCTCAGTGGGAATTTTTTTTACTTTTCAACAAATTGCCTACCAGCCTACATACTTACCACTAATCTGTTCCATGAAGCATACATTGCCATTGGTGTTAAAAGCCAAAGTATCAGGGGTAATGCAAAGTGTCTGGAAGATTGCAGACTGGACAATATTCTTCAAAGACAGAGTACACTCCAGGCAAATAGCCCAGATAGCTTGCTCAGTAAGACAGCTGTCTTGCAGCGATAGAACATCAGCGAGTGACACATTCTCCTGCCAAGACAAAAATTCAGAATTACTCCACACTTCAGGATAGCAAACCTGCGGAAGCTGGCTCCAACACATTTCCAAAAGTTCAAAGCTTTCTAAGACAAAAATCTAAAAGGTACTTGTATTTCAAGTCATACCTTCATGGCCAACGGTTCTAAAGCTGCTTAGTTAATTCTGCTTTATTGTTTTAGATTTCTTTCCTCTCTTTCAATATTTTTCTAGTTTGCAGCTGCAACCATCTCTAAACTTCCAGGTGCATCTTATCCAGAAGAGTGGATTCTGGATATCAAGCATCACAATATCAGACAGCAGAAGGTTCATAGAACAAGGATCTCATGATCAACACTAAAAATTGACATCATGCCTTTCCTTCTTTCTTCCCTTCTAAGATCTTCTTACCAATGTAAATATTATTTTTGGACAGGCAAGTGGGGAAAGACACACATAATCTGCCATGGAAAACTAAAGGAATCCCTGGAGAAAATTATTTTAAGTTCCTATGTCATTTTATTGATTTTATATTGCTTCACTTAACTGCTCTGTGCAGAATCCAGCAGGTTCTTTAGTTATTCAGAAGCTGCAGGACATGAAGCCAAAGAAGAGATGCTTGGAGCAATAATGAAGAAAAACAAAATGAATGAATATGGTTGCCCGCTATATTTGGCAATGTTTCATGGTGGTAAGAGGAGAGAAACATGTACACTTCTCTCTGTTTCCTGCATGTTCAGATGTGCATTTAGAGGCTCTGTCTAAGATGACACTCTGCCTTTGGGGGAAGAATGAAGACGAAGATCCACTGCAGGAACACTGTGACGTAATAGAATTACTCACATTCATTCATACATGGATACCAGTTGGGCAGAGTCTAGGAAGATTAACTCAGACAATGTCTTGTGAGATCATCTGGGATTCTTTTGAGTTCTTTCAGGAAGAGTCTATGGCAGTGTTTCTCAACCTTGACAATTTTAAGGCATGTGGACTTCAACTCCCAGAATTCCACAGCCAGCAATGCTGGCTGTGGAATTCTGGGAGTTGAAGTCCACATGCCTTAAAATTGTCAAGGTTGAGAAACACTGGTCTATGGATATAGACAGAGCCCTCTGTGACATGAACTCTATAGGCTTGAGCCATGACTTTTCTATATCCAATTTTGGCTCTAGATAGACTCACCCTCCCATAAAAAGATTGGGTTCATGACTGGGGGGGGGTCCTCTTGAACTCATGATTCCCACTAGAATAGTAGAAGGAGATCATGGCAAGGGGGGAGTGTGACTCCAGCTTCAACTGATATTTCAGTTCCAGGCCTCTTTAGTCTGAGAGGCCTTCATAACAGTGGCACATGCCTCATCATCTTGCAATACATTATTACATGGGGCTGTAACAACTTGAAGGTTTTGATTGGATCAAAGGTTAAGATTTAGCAAAGTTGATATCAATATTACATAGATGAATCATGTATATCAGGGGTCTTCAAACTTGGCCCTTTTATGACTTGTGGACTTCAACTCCCAGAATTCCTCAGACTGGCTGAGGAATTCTGGGAGTTGAAGTCCACAAGTCATAAAAGGACCAAGTTTGAAGACCCCTGATGTATATTAACCCAGTTACATTGCTGCACTGCACTGCACTGATTAGTAGTTTAATTCTAGGTCCAATTCAGAATCATGGTTATTACCTATAAACCTTTACATAGTACAGATTCCATTTATAAGAATTCCTCCAGCAAAGTCCAACCCATTCCATATTCTTTTAGAGAAGAGATGCTGATGATCTCCACTCTACAAGAATGCCCCATGATGCCCCTTCTCAGAAGCTGTTTTCACACCTTGTAGCACCTCACCTCTTGAGTACACCTTACCCCAATCATCTATTCTTTAGAAAATCTCTTAAGACCTTATTATTCCTCTGGGCAGTTGGATGATAATAATGATAGTGCTACCTTGATTAGCTGAGTTTCCTTTGCATTTTAATGTCTTTTTTTCTTGCACTTTATATCATTTTGCTATGATTAGAAATCACCTTGAATCCAAGAAACAGCTATTAGATAAAATCTTGTACAGGTAACTAAATAAAAATAACCACAGTTCTCAGAAAAAAATGTTTAAACTTTTATGGCAAAATAATTAAAAATCTACTCAGAAACTACAGAACTTCACTTACAGAAATGTCTAAAAAAGTTATATAGTATATACAAGTAATCATCTACAGTTTGGCTTCTAAAGGGGCTAAATGCATACAAAATATGGCCAACTGGCAGATTTCTAAAAAGGGGAAATTTAGAAACCCAACAGGTCTCCTTTTTTAAAAAGAAAAATTCCCATTTCCTTTTTTTCCCTCTTTTCTTTCCACTCTTTTGATATTTTTTGTTAAATCTGCTTCATTTGTCTATTTTTCTTTTTATTAACGAGTCTCTGTGTATATGTGTATATAAAGTATGTATGTATATAAAGTCATATATGAGATTTTAATACTAAATAATTGGTTTAAGATCAAAACCTTTTTCATATAACTCTTTGATGCAATTTGCAGTGGTGGTTTTTTCAATGTTCTATTCAACTTTGGATGAAAAAGTTAAATAATTTTATGTATGTAATATTGTCATCTTAAATTGTAATTAACAGTGAAAGAATTTTTTTTTATCTTCTTTATTTTCAATACTCTAAGCCAGGCATATCAAACTCGGGAGTCACATGATGTCGCGCGATGTATCGGGACTTTTTTTCCCCATTGCCAGCAATGGGGTGGGCGCAGTTTTGGCATGATGCATCTGGCCCATGGGCCAGCAGTTTGACATGCCTGCTCTAAGCTATCTAAATATGTTAATAATCTTCCATTAATATTGTGTAAAATGTACCGTATTGAAACAACAAAATGTATTAAGATTTAAGAGGACAGCTGACGGGGGGGGGGGGGGGGGAGAAAACTTCTAAGGCTTAAACTCATGCCAGACTGGACCAGCCCTCATTTTGGAACCAGAATGTTTGTCTTTTGAAATCACTTAATGTAAGGCAAAGGAATGGAAAAATCTGGGGGTAGAGTTAAAAGAGGGATCAGCTTAGAATCCCTACATAGTCACAAGTGGACTAAATTCAACCCCTCCTTGAATTCCATTGACTTTTATCTAACTCCTAGCAGGTGCTAAGCATTAGCTGAGAAGATTCCTATGTGTAGATTGTTTAACACTAAATCAATGTAATTGGATATTCATGTGTAGACCTGGTTTTTCATTGCTTAACAGTTAATACCGTTTCACTTATTAGGATTTCAATATTATACTCTAGAGTTATGTACATACTTTACTCACTTCCATGTGCTCTTAATTTATTCTATTTGCTCTGTACACATTTTTTAAAAAAAATTACCTCTAACTGTAAATAAAACAAACACTTAAAAATAATAATATTACGGTCCCAATGGAATGTTCAAATAAAGAGCCCACGCTGTTTCCCTAAATACCTGCAATCATATTCTTCTTATTAGTCCAATGAATGGAACAATTAGCTCAATCCACAGTGTGCTTGTAAAACATTCTGGCTTCCGTACTACATTTCCTGGCAAGCCTATTTAAGAATGGAAGACATACTCTCTTGCTAAAAGAATAATGCAGTGCTAAATAGCTAAGCCCCATGGCAAATGCTTTTCCTCTGGTTACAATTCTACTGTTGTAAATATAAATGGTCTTACCATATGGAAAAGGCACAAAGGTGTAAAAATTCTGTACAGACCATGAAAAAGTAATATTCTCTCCAGATGAGGGTGGCCATATTCATGGGAAAGCATTTTAAGCACAAACGGAAGAATAAAATCACCCCAGAATTCCTCTGCTTTTCTGTTCTCAGAAAAAGATGCCCTCTCACTCAAAAGGAAAGGTTCAATTCTAATTTATTTTTAATTGTATAGGTTGCCATCAAAGAACTATTTAGCTTTTCCAGCAGTTTATTAGCTGAAAAGTTTTACTCCTGGATACATTCAAGGGAAAAAGTTCTACACCCCATCCAAACTGAATAGAAAGATGGGGTACAAAATTGTTCAATAAATAAAATAAACTAAGAAATTAATACTATTGTAATGGGTTTTTTTGAAACAATGTGTAATCTTGAAATTAGGAAGATTAGGTAAAGCCACATCCAAACCCAATATGCTAAATGTTCTATTTCAGGGTTCCCCAAGGAGGTCCTTATGACTCCAAAGGGCTGATGGGACTATCCAAGAGGTCAATAAATGGCTGGGGGAGTCAAAAGGAGGTTATTTATTAAATGTCTATCTGTGTTAGTAAATGTTTATGTGATCACTAGGAGATGAAAATGACTTGATGACCCATAATCATCAGTTAAATGTGGGGGGGTCAATAAGCAATTGATAAGTGATCAATGGACAACTGAGGTCAATTAATCTTTTGGGGTCTTTATAAAGCTTCACACGAGTCTCTAGTCTTGAAGATAAGATGACTAGAGGTGAGACAGTATTACTCAGGGTTGGAGGGTCAGCTGTTGATGGCTTTGAGTCATTATTATTATTGTTGTTGTTATTACAATTAAAATAGTATTTATTAAATTATTTTCAACTAATAAATATTTGATTGTTGATGAACTTTCTGAAATTTCACGAAGGGGTTTATGAGCTAGAAAATTAGGGACCCCTGCTCTATTTTGTCCTATTAAAGCACGCCTCAGCAATTGTACTGACTCACCAACGTCAGTCAAATCCATCCTAAAGATCAATGTGGGTGACAGTTGTTGCAACTAATTTCTTGCTGATTTGTTTGCTTCTCACAGGAAAAAAAGTCATGTTCTAATTTAACTTTGATGTAGTAATTAAAGGTTTTAAAATTAGAAGCTGGGGAAACCAGGAGTTTTAGTCCTACCTTGGGTTTAAAACAGAGGTCCCCAACCCCCGGGCGGTGGACCAGTACCGTGTCGTGGCATGTCAACAACCAGTCCACACAAACAAGTAAAGCCTCATCCGTGGGATGCAGGCAGCACACAAAACCACGCACTCTCTGGTCCATGGAAAAAACCTCTCTCCACGGAACCGGTCCCTGGGGCCCAAAAGGTTGGGAACTGCTGGTTTAAAAGCCAGGTTGGTAACTGGGTCAATTAAGTCTTTCAGCCCTGAGAAAAAAAATTTCTGGCAAGCTACTTCCTAAACATGGCCAAAAAAATCTACAGGGACTTCTCTGTAGAGAAGGAATCAGGGATGGCTCAATGGACCATGACAACAACACGCTATGATGGCCTTTCAAACCAAGATATGAAAAAGTTACTTCAAAATTAAACAGTGAGTTTCAAATGCTATTTACAGAGGAATGAAAATTTATAGCTAGTAGTGTAAAGGTGACCTATATGACAGATCTTTTATTTTAGCCAACTATTTGTTTCATGTGTTTCACATAGGAAAATGTTTTGATTAGTTAACTCTTGCCATCTGTAACTTTGGAAGAGGTGTATAAGAATACAAGTTTATAAGACCATCTTGGTCTCCTCAGACAGGCTGATTGAGTCAATTTTCCACTTTCAATTGTCCTATGTACTAACCTTGGCTCTGATGTAATAGAGTTCTTATTATGTAATAAAGAGCCAGTTTGGTCCAGTGGTTAAGACACCAGGCTAGAAATCAGGAGACTGTGAGTTATAGTCCCATTTTAGGCATGAAAGCTAGCTGGGTATGTCACTCTCTCTCAGTCCAATCCACCTCACAGGTTTGCTGATGTGGAGAAAATAGGAGAAGGAAGAAGTATTAGGGATGTTCACTACTTTAATTATTTATAAACAAATAATAAAGGTGGGATAAAAATATTATTACTCCCTAATCTGGGCCAACTAGATGAAGAAAATGCTTCCCCTACCTCACCCTCCTGACATATTTTTTGCAGAAATTATTGGGAAGGTTACTAAAATCTGTTCAAGAGCAGCTGCTGTACAGAATATATGGATTTAATTTTCTACATTGGTTAGGTTAGCAGTTCTATTTAATATGTGCTTGGTTCTTATTTTTAAATGTTGATGTTTTTATTTTCTTCTTGTTTTGCTTTTATTTATTTGAAGCTTTGGCGGCATTCCTCCTGTGGAACAGCTTGAATACAAATATCTATATATAAAAAATCCCTCTTTGACCAAGTTTCTGAAAAGTGAAAACCTGGCTCTGAAATAACATTTGGAGGATGTCAGATTTTCCTTAATGATCTACTTCAGTTGGTTAGTGCTATTATAATTTATATTACTTGCAACTTCTTTGATATCTGTAATCTTTACCTCTATTCTCTGTTTTGAAGCAGAGCAGCATAGAAATACCAGGGATAAATAAAAATAAATAGCATATATTCATTATGGCATCTGGCCATAAATAAATGAATAGTGGAATAAGTGGGAAACAACATGTACATCTCCAAGTACTTTTTAAGGTGCAATATAAAGTTAAAATGCAACACTTTGGAAAAGTAATATAACACTGTCCAAAGTATTACATTTGGACTAAAGGCCAACTTCAATCTTCCATTTTCAAAGTGGCCAACCAGATTTCTACAGGGAAAGCATGACATGAAAGTCTCAAAATAGCTACTACATGTTCCCATTCTCATAAGCATTTGTCTGCAAACCTGGAGCTACTACTGGTAGTTCACAACATACAACTGGTGACTGTCTGAAGGTATGTCAGACGCCCCACCCCAAAAGCTACTTACAAACCCAATTCCAAAGTTACAGCCACTGCACTGTCTCCTATGTTCATCTGTCCTTAAGACCGACTGCAGGGATGCTGCAGCAGGACCCCCCCCCCCATCCATTCCCCATCTCCTCTGACCGGTCTTTGCATGTCTTGGGCCTGCTTCCCACATTCCACTGTGCCCCTCACCTTCCTCTTTACCTCATGTCCCCCAATCCAATGCAGCTATCCAGAAAATGGCAGCCACTTCTGGAAAAATGCCACCCAATAGTGAACTTCCCTAACCCAAGCTCCAGAGATCTTTGAAAAGTAAGTGGTCAATTGATAACACAAGATGACAAGGGTGTGGGGCCCAGTGGGTGGAAAGCAGGCCCAAGGGAAGGGAAGCAGAGCACAAAGTGCCTCAAGGGATGGGGGAGGCTCCCGAGGCACCCCGTGCTCCGTCCCATGACTGCCTCAGGAAGAACAGGACGGGGACCTCTAAGTGATGTTCACATGGGTGTGTCACTTAACGGCTGTCACAAAATGCAACCATAATGGGCAGGCTCCCTTATGGTGATTGGTTGAGGACTGCCTGTATATTGTTATTTCAACCACGTCACACTCAGTTAAGAATTTAATGATGCTTTTAAAGAGACTTTCATTAAGAGAAATATTGCCATGGAACTGAAGTTACTGTAAACTCAGTTTCTCAGGCACATTCTTTAGCAGAACATCCCTTAATATTAGGATGAATTGGAAACATATACTTAATTTGACTTCAGTCTATTTATTTTGGAGCGACTTTTGATAAATACTTACTTCAACCAGATACAGGTAGTCCTTGATTTACAACAGATCAGTGACTGTTCAAAGTTACAACAGCGCCCAAAAAGTGACTTATGACCATTTTTCACACTTATGACCATTACAGCATCCCCATAGTCACATGATTTACATTCAGATGCTTGATGGTTGCATTGTCCTGGGGCCATGTGATCCCCTTTTGCAAACTTCTGACTAGCCAAATGAATGGGGAAGCCAGATTCACTTAAGCACCATGTTACTAACTTAACCACTGCAGTGATTCTGTGGAAAGAAAAGTCATAAAGTGGGGCAAAACTCATTTAACACATTTCTCACTTAACAACACAAATGTTGGGCTCAATTGTGATCATAAGTTGAGGACTACCTGTACTAGTGAATTCAACACAGCACAGAATTCAAACCAGTGACTTTGGCAACTAGTAATTGATCAGAGAGGACACTGACAAGGTAAAGTAACACTGAATTATGAATAGATTCAGCCCCATGACCATGAAAGTCAGCCTTGTTCCTTTTTTTCACTCCGATCATGTCATTGATTCTAATAAGAGGCATTCCAAAGTAAAGCCAGACAGTAAAAAGCCTTGTTTGAAAGCAGTCACCCCTCTTCTTAAAACATTTTACTGATATTGCATGAGAAAGGCAATACAGCTGAATCATGCATATTCGGGCTGTAGGTTTACAATCTCTTTTTACTTCCCTGTCCTACAGGAGACAGGTTCATGCAAGTACAGGTAAGTCCTCAACTTACAACCGTTCATTTAGTGACTATTCAAAGATACAACAGCACTGAATAAAGTGATTTACGACCATTTTTCACACAACCACTGCACTGATCAAAATTCAGACTATTGGCAACTGTCTCATATTTATGACAGTTGCAATGTCCCAGGATCATGTGATCACCTTTTATGATCTCCCAAGTAGCAAAGTCAATGGATAAACCAGATTCACTTAACTAACTTAACTGCAACAATTCATTTAACAACCATGTCAAAAGGTCATAAAAATGGGGCAAAATTCACAACAAATGTCTCATTTAGCAACATAAATTTGGGGCTCAGCTGTGGTCATAAGTCAAGGACTACCTGTAACTCTATCTTTTATGGACTTAAGCCAGTGTGGACTTCTACTCCCAGAATTCCCCAGGCAGCAAGAATTCTGGGAATTGAAGTCCACACATCTGAAAGTTGCCAAGGATGAGAAACCCTTGATTTAGGTTACAAAGAGATCACTTTTAAGCGCTTGTTTCCAAGTTACATCTGGGAGGGGTGTTGTTCAAAGAGACTCCTTGGCGGGTTTATACGCCCCTCCCTCTCGGCAGCTCCTTGCAAGGCGTTCTTGGGATGCGCTTCAAACATACTTGGTGGTACAGGACAGGCTACGCCACTGCCCTGGGAAGGAAATCGACGCCACCTGTACGGTTCCCTCCGCCCGTCCCATGGAGGCGGCGGCACCCCAGCCCCAGAATCGGTTAGCAGGAAGGGCTGTTTTCCCGCCGCCGGAGAGGCTCACCTCGTCCTCTGAGAGCGCAGGCAGGAGATCGAAGTCACAGGACTCTTCCTCCGCAAAATCATCCATTGCGGCTGCTGCCGAGGGTTCTTTTGCCCCGCCCGGACAAGAGGCGACCCGAGAGGACTCGAACTTCCAACGCCCGGACGCTCTCCGGGACCCGCCGCCACCTCCTCCTCCTCTGACCAAGGGCGCCCGTCCCCACGTTCTTCTGTAGCTATTTGGGGTCCGTCTCTTGCTCGCCGCGCCTCCCTCTTTCCCCTCCCGGCGCCGTCCGACAAATGTGTTTGCCGAGCGAGGCGGCGCCCCTGGCAACAGACCTGCCTCGCCCTCGGCCGGGCGCGGGCCAAGAAGGGAGGCTCCGCCTTGTTCCGGGCCAGTGGCCGAAAGAGTGCGAGGCATTGCCGGCTCTGCTTTAAGAGTAACTCCTCTGTAAGCAGAGAAGTTTCCGAGGAAACCCCGCGCTGCAGCTGCTCATTGGCTGGTTATTGCCCGAGTTGGTGGCTCTGAAACGCTAAGCCTTCCCCCCCCCTTTTTTTACGATAAATTACGGAGGCCTTCTTGGTGACTCAAGTCAATGGCGACCAGATGCGGGCCTTACAAATCGTGATAGCTTCAAGTAGCCCTGACTAAGACTTAACACGGAGATTGGAGAACTTTTGGTGTTATATGAGGGGGTCCTTGGGGCTCCGTGAGCTTGCTTGTTTTCTTGCAGACGTTTCATTACCCAAACAAGGTAACGTTATCAGTGCTAGCACTGATGGGCTTTTAAACCATCACACAAGCACTGATGATGTTATCTAGTTTGGGTAATGAAACGGCTGCAAGAAAACAAGCAAGCTCAGAGAAACCCAAGGAGCCCTCATTTCATCCCTTTGCCATTATTCCTCAGCCTAGACAATTTTAAGAGATGTGGACTTCAACTCCCAGAATTCCCTTGTGCATGTTGTGAAACATTGCTTCAAGGATTGCCTTGTCTTTATTTGTGGTTAGTTTGAATATGCAAGTTGGGGTTCTCAGAGCATGGAAGGCCCTAAATACTTACCTGTTTGATTTGGATTTATCCAATGTGCTAGCTGAAATGTTGGCTTGTTAATGATTCACTGTGTCCTGCAAACCCAACCTCCAAGTTAACTTGTATAGCCCTTTTTTGAAGTCCATCCCAGAGTGATTATATTATTTTCTGCAGAAAGTGGGTGAGTTAGATAGTGGAGAATGGAATATATATAAAGTCAAATTAAAATGCGATCCTAAACATTCTTGGTTTGGATGGAGTTCCACTGAAGCACTTGAAGGGTACATTTCCTGGAGAAGAAACTAGGCCAACAAATGCACGTAACAAGACTTTTCTTTTGCCAAAAAAACAAAAACCAAACCCTTTTACACTACAATCAATATGATTAGATCATTACAAACATATGCTACACTAAAATGTGTCAACATTGAACATATTTATACACATTCAGCTGAAATCACAATTGGCATTGGGTAACAATATTTATAGAATAAACAATATCCAGTTTTTCAGTCTTATTACTCTTTAAATATTGTGTTTACTGCCTTGTTTCTGCTCCAATATAATATTCTACCAGAGTAATCCAAGACATATCTAATATGTGAACTTAGAAAATGACAAATATTCATAGGATTTTTAATAGCCTTCACTTATAGCACAATTCTTTGCGTATATAATTTGTATTTTGGAGCCCAGGCTTTAGCTATGATCTTAACTCATATTTATGTGAGGTTAAAGCCCATGGAACAGAATATGTGAGCAACGTCTCTTCAGGTTTCTCCAATCTATACATGAATGCTCAAAAATATGGGAAATAATACAACCTTGAACTTTTAGTATAAAAAGACACATAAAAACTGGGTGGAATTATTCTCAAAATAACACAACAACGGAAGAATACAGTTTGCTCAAAAGGAACAAAAGCAATAGAAAAGGACTTGTGAGATAAATTATTTTATTTATTCTTGCTCAGAGGAAGGACTTAAAGCAATACTATTATTGTCAGGTTTCACACTACTGCTTGGCAGTAAATCTCAGTTCTCCAGACTCTTGTTCAGGAATTGCCTTGGAAATGAACTCTCAGATATAACCTTGTTTTTTTATTGCAGATAAGAATGAAACGAAATGCACAAAAATGATTGGTGTTCCAGAACATAAAATCTAGGCTTTTTCTTTCTACTTTCTGTAATTCATAAATATTGGCTGTTCTCTTGATGGCCAGAAAGATAACTGAATTATGCTTTCATAATGATTTTCACTAGCCTGATAACCTTGGACTGTCATCTAAGCTGTCCATCTGTCCGTCCTCACATTGATTGGTTTCTGGGGTAGTTCACACAGATGGCATTCACACACACACACCCACACACACACACACACACACACACACACAAATTGGAGCTTTGATGGCCTTATCACGGCTCTCATCTTGACTTTTTCGGACTACATCCTAGGGACGCTACTGCTTGGGTATAAACCAGGGGTGTCCAACTTTAAAATCTGTGAACTGGCTGGAGAATTCTGGGAGCTGAAGTCCACATATCCTAAAGTTGCCAAAATTGGACATCCCTAGTGCATAACATCATCCAACCAACCGTGAAGATGTAGTTAATGGTTTCCAAAAGCAAATGATATATCTCCTAAGTCCGTGGTGGCGAACTTATGGCACGCGTGCCACAGGTGGTACGCAGAGCCCTCTCTGTGGGCACGTGCGCCATCACCCCGGTCCTAGGCCTTCAGCTGGGTTTTATAAAATCTTTTCGCTTTAGGCCTCCGCTGCCGGGTGCCCAAAAAAATGGTTCAATCAATCAATCAATTTCAAATTCTTGGAGAAAAAAAAAGATATCGCAAAGTTGGAATTGATTGATTGAACTTTTAGTCCCACCCAGTCTGCCATTACCACTGAAGCCATGCCCACTGAATTGGCCACGCCCACCCAATTGGTCACACCCACCCAATGGGCCACGCCACCCGGCACCTGACGATACATAAGTGTTGTAAGGACCCACCCCACTTTGCATCTTAAGAAGACAGAACTCTTGGAATAGTTCTTCCAACAAGCATCCTTTATTAAGAGAAAATGGTTGCAGGCGTTCTAGACAGAACTTGGGGTCCAAGCTCTCCCATTCAAGGTTTTAAGGGGTTCCCCACTAGCCCCACCCAATCACCCTCTTCTTCCAGCGACAGTCTCAGGCATTACACTCCCACCCCCTTTTCCTTACTGCCGGCTGGATAGAGACTTCAGAGAGAACTATATGAAGGTCTATCTTACTACTTTCTGTTTTTAGTTGTCCCCCACTTAACAGTTGCACCCTTAAGTAAGCTGGGGAAAAATAGCTTTACTATGACTGCCTTTTGTACGAGACAGCAGTAAGAATACAATTGAGAGAAAAGCAAATAATATATTGCTGCACTCTGAATTTTCTCTGTTAAACATGCCTCCATACAAGAACTGTGGAGAGAAGGGTTCAACCTCCATTTTAAAAGGATTTCCGTTCACTATGATATACAATTACCTTTCTATCCATTATTTTTAATATGAGGGAATATTTCCAACCAAAACACCAAGTAAACTTCCTCTGAATGCCACTACTACCATTGATGCCACTGGGGTCTCTGAATAATTTCTTGTTAACCCTGATTTTTTCAGAGACCCGATTCCGAAAATCCCCCCTATGGGTGGAGGAAATGATGGGGTGGGAAGATTCCTGTGTTTTAAATTATATACCAATGCTTCAGTCTGGCCTGGTGCTTTTGATTCATTTCCAGATTGTAAAACACATCTCTATGGTGGAATGTAGTCTGCAATCCCAAGAGGGAGGGGCTGCTTTCGAGAGAGCAAAGAGGCAGCGGGGCTTGTAATAGGCAGGACTAATTCTAGAGGTTGAAATTCCCAGGCTGAAAGATGTTAAAGTAGGGGTATGAAGAAATGAGTGTCATCATCCATTCTTCTATGAGAGAACTGGTAAATTTCTTTTTTTAAAATGTTTTATTGATTTTTAACAATTACAATCTTTAGTGCTTAGTAAGCAACATATTGTCTAGGTTCACATATTTAACATTAACTTCTTCAATGTAAATCTGTTCAGTACTGCACAATCTAATGTTTTTTTGCCTGATCCTCCTTTCTTCCCCATATTTTTTCCATTTCCCCCTCATTACACAGTTACAATTCTTGCTACTGTTGATGCAAACAAAGTTAAATATAAACATCCTCATCTTATTTTACTAATATTATACAAATAACAATAATATCAATTCATAAATCATATCTTGTTTTTCATGCTCTTATTAAAGTCTGTTTTCCCATCACTATTTGAAATATCTTTGTTAGTTATGATTTTCTCAATATTAATTACATTTATATAGCTAAGAAATTTATTCATTGAAGGAGAAGGAAAGTGGGAGTAGCTTAAGGAATATAAATGGGCAGGATTCCCCCCCCCCCAAAAAAAAATACCCACCTAAATTGTCTTCCTCATTCCAAGCAACTTTTACAAAAATAGAAAGAAAATTCCTGGGTGATTTAGTTGCCTTCACCTGGAAAGCCACTTGACAAAGAAAGAAAGCGAGACTTAAAAAACAGAAGATTTGACCTATTAGAAGGGGCATTATATGATTAAATATCTGTTTCAATATGATTAAAAGAATGGATGACCCTTAGATATAATTAGACTTTTATAATGAAAGATATGATTTAGAATTAAAATAGCATTTTTTTTTCCTTTTTTCAATATGGGAAATATGAAAATGGCTGGTATGAATAAATTTTTTAGCTATAGAACTGGTAAATTTCTTATTAAACAATTATAGCTGGGGAGATAGCTCATTTATAACTGAGTGGTTTCTGATTAGAAAAAGTTGTCTGGTCCCAAGAACCAAGAACAACATGTGGAGTTACGTCTGAGTAGCTTCCTTTATTGTCCTTCACCTATAGGCGGAATCTTACCAGACTAAAGCAAAAATTTGTCAAAGAACCTGCCATTTTTCATAAAATTCCAAGAACATTTAAAGGAAATGCTATGATCCTATCACTGAAGCTTCGGGCTTATGTTCAACTTATTTTCTTAAGTTAATAGATTCAAGTTATAATAGTCCTGCTGTGGTAGAAAGGATACTGCATGAAGAAAAGAATCTAGAGGAAAAGGAGCTAAATGGGGGGGGGGTGTCTTTGATGCTCTCTGAGTTTGGCTGTTTTCTTGTAGACATTTCATTACCCAAACTAGGTAACATCATCAGTGCTGGTAAGGAGAGGGGTTTGCTCTCAGTGTATATTTTAGTGGCTCGCCCTGGGGTGGTCTTAGAGGTTCTTTGGTTGAGCTGTTTACTGTTGGCTTGTTTGGCAGTTCCTTGATTGGGTAGTGTTTACTTGATTGTTGGTCCTTTATTTTCCTTTTTG